GGCTGAGCCGTCTCTCCAGTCTACAGCACATTGTCTTTATCCACTTTTGGTAAGCATAGGCTGATTCCATATCTCGGCTATTATGAACAGTGCCTCAATGAACAAAGATGTGCAGATATCTCTGTTTGCTGACTTTGATTGCTTTACATATATACCCAAAATTGGTACAACTGGATCACTGTTAGTTTCCTTGATAATAGCCATTCAAATTGGAGTGGGATGGAATCTTAACATAGCATAATTTACATTTCTATGGTGGCTAAGGATGTTTGAACCTCTTTTCATTTGTTGGCCATTTAATACTTTTTTTTTTTTTTTTTTGGTCCTTTTGAGAAAGGATCTCCCTGTAGCCCCAGCTGTCCTGGAACTCACTATGTAGACCAGGTTGGCCTTGAACTCACAGAGATCTATCTACCTGCCTCTGCCTCCCAAGTGCTGGGATTAAAGGCATGGGCCGCCACACCCAGCTAATGCAGAGTCTTAAGTACTAAGAGTCAGTGACTGTTGAGTGCTCAGCCCTATGTGGGATATATGGGTAATATAGATATATCACCCCTTCCAAGGCTTGGGAACACCCATATGGTGGCTAACAACCATCTGTAACTCTAGTTCCAAGGGATCTGATGCCCTCTTCTGACATCCACAGGTATTCATGACATGGGTGCACCTACCTACATGGAAGTATTACGCTTATATACATAAAAAATTAAAAATATTTTGTTTTAAAGTATAAATGGCCGGTCATGGTGGTGCACACCTTTAATCCCAGCACTCGGGAGGCAGAGGCAGGCAGATCTCTGAGTTCAAGGCCAGCCTGGTCTACATAGTGAGTTCCAGGACAGCTGGGGCTACAGGAGACCCTGTCTCAAAAAGACTCTGCATTAACTATTGTCCACCGAAAGCAGAAGCTTCTCTGACTAAGGTTGAGAGTCCCACTGGTTTAATTGTTGGCATTCCTCTGGACTCTTTTTGCATTCCTTCCACTCCTTTGGGATTGTCATCAGGCTTAAGAGTACTGAACCATCTCCCCATCTTGCTGCTTTACCAGCTTTTTGGAATACAAGTTTTCAAAGTATTCTTTGGTATCTATTGTAATGTTTCCCTTTTCATCTCTAATTTTTACTTGGGTCTTCTCTTTCTTTTGGTTAATTTGGCTAAGGGTTTTTGTCTCCATTTCATCAATTTCTACCCAAATCTTTCTTGCTTTCAAACTAGTAATTTGGTTTTGACTTGTTCTTTCTCTTTGACCTTGAGTTATATTATTAATTTATTTAATTTCTCTTGTTTTTTTAAATGTAAGCACATTTAGCTATAATCTTCCTTCTTAGAACTACCTTTGCTGTTTTCAAGAGATTCTTTTAAGTCGTATTTTCATTTGATTCTAAGCATTTTTAAAATTCCCTCCCTGATTATTTTAGTGGCCCACTGTCTGTTCCATAGTGCATTGTGGGGCTGGAGAGATGGCTCATCTGTTAAGAGCACTGACTGCTCTTGTAGAGGACCCAGTCTCAAATTCCAGCACCCACTTGGTGGCTAACAACCTTCTATAACTCGTTTCAGGGAATCTGATGCCCTTTTCTGGCCTCTGCAGGCATTGCATGACATGAGTGTACTCACACACATCAAATAAATGAAAATAAATTTTTTTTCTTTGGTCTTTTTTGAGATAGGATCTCCCTGTAGCCCCAGCTGACCTGGAACTCACTACATAGACCAGGCTGGCCTTGAACTCACAGAGATCTGCCTGTCTCTGCCTCCTCAGTGCTGGGATTAAAGGCATGTGTCATCACACCCGGCAAATAAAAATAAATTTTTAAAAACTGTATTTTTCAATTCTATGCATCAGTATTGTTTCTTACTGATTTCTAGTTGATCCCATTGTGATTTGATAAGATGCAATAAATCACTTTGAATTTTTTTTAAATTTGTTAAGACTTGCTTTATGGCTTAACCTGTAGTTATATTTTACAGAAAGTTCCATTTACTGCTGAGAAAAATGTGTATTCTCTTTCTGCTTGCTGGAATATTCTGTAGATATCTGCTAAAGCCATTTGATCCATGGTGCAGTTTAACTCTGGTTTCTTTATCCTTTTTTTTTTTTTTTTTGGATGTTCTGTTGATGATAGTAGGGTATTGAAGTCACCCCTATTATAGCTGCATCTGCCTGTGTCTTTATGTCCATTGTGTTTGTGAAATTGAGTGCACCAACATTTACAACTGTCATATCCACTTGATGGATTGTTCCTCTCTTCTAATTTTCACTTAAAGCCTATGTCAGAGTACTTCCCCTGCTTGTTGTCAGTTTACACTTGCTTTGTATATCATTTTCTATACTTTCACTTTGTTTTTGCAAGTAAAGTATGTTTCTTACATAAAACAGTGATTTTTGTTTGTTTTTATAATCTGGTTTGTGTCTTTCACTTAGAGAGCTAACACTATTTACATTTAGGATTATTACTGAGAAACATCTAGTTTCTGTAATGACATTGGTTCTTTTTCTGGTTGACTTTCTCCTATTCATACTATGAGTTAACTGATTTACTCAGTCTAAAATGTCTGATTCTTTGTTGGCTCTCTTTTTTCTCTGTATATAGGATTCCTTTAATTATCTTCTGCAGTGCTGGTTTAGTGCTCGTGGGTTGTAATACTTGGAAAGGTCAAAAAAGAACTTTGTTGTTGGATATATATAGTAGTCTCTCTCTTTTTTTTTTTGGCCTTTTGAGACAGGGTCTCCTTGTAGCCCCAGCTGTCCTGGAACTCACTATGTAGACCAGGCTGGCCTGGAACTCACAAAGATCCACCTGCCCCTAACTCCCAAGGGCTGGGATTAAAGGCGCCACCATACCCGGCAGTAGTCTCTTTTTTATTATTACTTTTTATTTTATGTGTGCGAGTTCATTGCCTGCATATATGTAAGTGCACCTGTGTTAGGTGATGCCTGCGGAAGTCAGAATAATGCGTCAGATCCCCTGGAACTGGAGTTAGAGATAGTTGTTAGCTGCCATGTGGGTGCTGGGAATTGAACCTGGGCCCTCTGTAAGATCAGTGTTCTTAACTGCTGAACCATCTCTCCAGCCTCTGGATATAGCACCATTCCCTAGGTTAAGATCATCAACTGTTTAAAAAAGAGAAATTGCTGAGCATGGTGGTGTACTTGGGAAGCAGACTCAGGTGACTCTCTGTGAGTTTAAGGCCAGCCAGGGATTCAGAGTAAAATCCTATCTCAAAAAAAAAAAAACGCGTGGGGGTTGGGGGATAGGATTGGCTGTGACCTCCCTGCAGTGATGGATAGTACTTGGAACTATGAACCAAAATAAATCCTTACTTCCTATATTAGTCACTTTTCTGTTGCTGTGATAAGAAACACCATGACCAAGGGAACTTATTAAAGGAAGAGTTTATTTAGCTTACAATTCCAAAGGGGCAAGAGTCAGTACATCATGGCGGGGAGGCATGAGGTGGCTAGAGGAGGAGCGGAAACTAAGCTCTCACATCTTCAAGCAGGCACAGGAAGCAAGAGAGCAACTTGAGATCTGCCAAGCCTTAAAAACTCTAAGCCTGCCCCCAGTGACGTGCTTCCTCCAGCATAGCCACACCTTCTAAGACCTCTCAAAACAGCACCACCAACTGGGGACAAAATGCCCAAATACTTGGAGACTACGGGGGACATTCTCATTCAAACCACCACACTTCCTTAAATTGCTTTTGTCAGAAAAAATAGGAATCCTACACAGAGAGTAAAAAAGACAGTCAAGAGCTCAGGAAAGAGTAAGTTTTTTGAGAGAAATAGATGAACAAATGAGAACCAAGAATCTAAGGAGGCTAGAAAGATGGTTCAGTGGTTAAGAGTACTGTCTAGTCTTTCAGAGGATCCAGCTTCAGGTCCCAGCACCCACCTGGTGACTCAAAACTGTTCATAACTCCAGTTCCAGGGAATCCAATGCCCTGTTCTGGCCTCTACGTGCATGCACTTATATCCATGCAGGCAACACACTCATACACATTAAATTTCTTTTTAAATTAAAAAAAAAAAAAATCAAGGTAAGACATCCATCACTACTTTGTTGAACACTTATTTCATTGGTATGACTGTGGACTAAGGTATTGTGTATCATGATAGCCGATTGTCATTAGGTAGAGGAAACAGTTCTACATCAACACTGGTATTTCTGGGCAGCAATTTGTGCCTCTGTTGGGATAGATATTTCTTGTTTTATCTGCAGCTCTTAGTTATCAAACTTCTCCTAAGGGCTCAATCCTAGCACCACTCACAGGAGAAAACCACTATAACAGCTATAACATTAAATCAAACAAGATACTGAAATACAGTAAAAAGGCAGGCATGGTTGTGCTGCTTAAATTCAAGTATTTGGGAGCTGAGGCAAGAGGATCAATTTGAAGTCATCCTTGGGAGTTCCAGGCCAGCCTGGGCTACATGCGATCCTGTGTGAGGGGCAGGTTGAGGGAGAGGGGGAAAGGGGAGAATTAAAGTTAATTAAAGCCAATTTTAATACTACTCTTGAGCATAGAAAAGAATACAGCAAAAAATTAAAATGTAGTATAGAATTTTTAAATTAAGGTAAAAGTAATAGATGAATGAAATAAAGGAATGGGTAGGGAAAGGGGAAGAAAGTGAATTAAGGTTAGGCAAAAGGAAAGAGAAGAAATGAGAAAACTATTAGGAAATGTGAGAGAAAAGATTGGAATTTCAAGAGATTAAAAAAATCTACCAAATGAAGTACAGAAACAAAATTAGATAAATGTAAGAAGAGAAATAAAAACTAAAACACTTAAAAAGACACTTTTAAATACATTGATGGGAACATCAGGCAGGTGCTGGAATAGCAAAGATAACTTGGCCCAGAACTTACAGCATTCTAGCTTTCCACAATCACAGAGATTCTAATCAGTCAGCCTTGTACAGTCTTTAACATAGGTGCAGCTTTTTTTCTGGAAACTTTAGTTCATACCTTTTTAATGCTTCTTTCTGATCATTTTAGCGTTTTGCTGCTGTCATCATGAGGATAAGAGAGCCACGAACCACTGCTCTGATTTTCAGTTCTGGAAAAATGGTGTGCACAGGAGCCAAGAGGTAGCCTTAAGGAATTCTTCTGGTATATGTATTACAAAAGGAAAGGGATAGCCCATGGTTTCTATTATTAGGCTAGAACTTAAAATTTATTCCTTTTTATTTTATGTGTATTAATATTTTGCATGCATGTAAGTATACCTGTGTCATGTAATGCCCAGAGGCCAGAAGAGGGCATCAGATTTCCTAGAACTAGAGTTACAGGTGGTTGTTAGCCTCTATGTATGTACTAGAAACCAAACATGGTTCCTCTGCAAAAGCAGCCAGTGTTCTTATCCGCTAAGCCAACTCTGCAGTCCGTAGGCTTGTACTTTTAGCATGTCACTTTAAAATGTGGTCCTAATCACTTACAATAGCTTTGATTTTCATTTTCTTCTTACTCTTTCTCTCATTGTCATCTGCATTCTGCTTTACTTATGAAAGCTCTAAGTTGGAAACTTAAAGTTTTATCCAGCACTGGTATAAGAATGGACAGAGATTTGATGTGGATAGAATTTGTGCATTCTTTGCTATTAAATCTCATTAATATTTTTCTGTAAAGGCGAAGTTTTCATCTCAGTAGAAATTTGTGGATCAGAGTATAGTAATGGGCTGGAGAGATGGCTCAGCAGTTAAGAACACTGGCTGTTCTTGCAGAAGCCTGGGTTCGAATCCCAACACACATGGCAGCTAACAATTGTCCATAACTCCTGTTCCAAGGGATCCGACAGCCTCTTCTGTCCTCCGTGGGCATTGCACGACACAGGTGCACTTACCTACATGCAGGCAATACACGCATACACATAAAAATAAGGATTTTTTTTTTTAAAAAAAAAGAATATAGTAACAGCAGTGATCATGGTAATGGAACCACATGTCATGTCATATCCCTAAAACCAGGGCTGTCAGTATTGTAGCAAGTGGAAGGCCGATGTGTTGGTAGGCTTAAAGTTTCTGTTAAGGACATAGGAATTCTTAAGATTCCTTATAACTTATTCATCTAATAATTCCATTAGCCTTCTATACAAGTAAGTCATTGTTTTCTTTTTTATAGTGAAGAACAGTCTAGACTAGCAGCAAGAAAATATGCCAGAGTTGTGCAGAAGTTGGGTTTCCCAGCTAAGTTCTTAGACTTCAAGATCCAGAACATGGTGGGGAGCTGTGATGTGAAGTTCCCCATAAGACTGGAAGGCCTTGTGCTGACTCACCAGCAGTTCAGTAGGTAAGTATGAGATGTATTGGGATTACTTCAGCCAACAGTCTACACCAGCATCATTTAGGATAAAGCACATGCAAGACATTCAGTATGTAAGCACAGGATGTAGTTGGTTATGCTACATGGAAATAATAAGGTGCCACTGCAGTTGTGCTTTTGCCCTTCCTGTGTCACTTAAAGACACCCAAACACCCCTTCACTGGACTGACTTGCATTTCACTTGGTGCTTTATCATTTTGTTGTTCAGTAAATATTTTAAATTCATGAATTAAATCTGTAACTTCTATCACTTTTCTACTAGTTTGAATCTTTTTGTGATAATTTTTATCAACGTTAGATCTATTATATCAGCAAAGTGTAAAGATGAACAGCAGAAATATCCTGTCCACTACTTTTCACTGGCACCTGCTGTTCACATTTGCTTAGCATCCCCCTCATAGCCTTCTCTCACCATGTTTTCTGTGTACAGCCACACTAGCTCACCATACCCCCCCAGGCTCACCAAATTCCTCTTGCTCCAGGGTCTTTGCACATGCTAGTCTCAGTTTGCTTTTCTCCATAGAAACTCCCAATTGAGTTTCAGATTTTCACCCAAGTTGCTGTTCCTCAGATAAACCTATCCTGAGTTTATCTCCAAGTCATACACAAATAACATGAGAAAAGAGAGATCCTTTTGACAGTCTTAACTAATAAAGCTGAGATCACTAGGTTACAATTACATTAATTAATGTCCATTCAGGCAGATGGCATAGTCAGGGAATAAGTTCATTTCAATAGTATATCACTTTGATTAAGTGATCTGGTTAGAAACTGAGCTAGAAAATTTTCTATTTAGAGAAGTGAGATATGATTAAAAGGCAAACTGTTACTATCCATTTTTTGTTTTGTTTTGGTTTTTTTTTTGAGACACATTCTCCCTGCTTCCAGAACACTGAGACTAAAGACATGTGCCATCACACCCAGCTATTATCAGCTCTTAAGAGTAAATAAACTGCTATACCTTGACTTGTCTGGAATGAATCTGGGTGAGGATCAGAGAACAGAGGTATAAGCTGTCATTTTAATATCAAAGAAATCTACATTCGGTGGAATAGCATCAAGTGATAGGAGGACACTTAGCAGTAGTTAATCATCATGTCCATGGCACATGGGCTCTTGCCAGGTAAAAGTGTGCTCTCCTGTGTGCTCTACTTGTGGATGGGTGGCTTGTTTATTCAGTATTTCGGACATGAGGCGTCTAGTATCTAGAAACATGAGGAACTTGTGATTTCTAAACTGTTTTTCCAATTTTCCTTCTAGCTATGAGCCAGAATTATTCCCTGGATTAATATACAGAATGATCAAACCCAGAATTGTTCTCCTTATTTTTGTTTCTGGAAAAGTTGTATTAACAGGTAAGTTTTGCAAAGGGAACTAGCATCTCAAATTTTGAGAATTTTTGAGGATGGCATTTTCTGTTGGGAGAGTTGTCTAGCAACTTGTAAAGATGCCTTTTGTTTGTTTTCCATCTTAACCTTCATGAGAAATGGGGAAGAGAACAGCAAGTCCTGCTGCAGTTTGTGGCCCTCAGCTATGTCTGGGCACCAGTAGTAGCCTGATGATGGCAGTGGGCAGGGAAGGTACACTGATAAGCAACCATTTTCAGTTGGAATTAGCCCTCTGGAACTAATAACTGGGTTATTGAGTGCCATTCTTAAATAAGAAAGTTTGAGATCTTAGTTAAAAGCAGCAATTGGGAGAATGTTTCAGTCCTCAGTGCTTGTGAGTTACATTGCTGAGGACCAACTGTGGGAAGGAACTGTGGACTAGGGGTGGGATCTGTTCAAGGTCTAAATGTAGGGAGGAACTGGTGGACCTGAAGTCACCATGTGTATTACTTTTATAATTAAAAGATCATGTTAAGAAAATACTGTTTAAAAACAAAGCTGACTCCTTTATTCCCAATACTTGGGAGTCAGGCAAGGCTACCTCTGTGAGATGAAGGCTAGCCTGGTTTATCTAGTGATTGCCAGGCCAGCTGGAGCTAGAGGGAGACCCTGTCTCAAAAACAGACCAAAAGAACCAAAACAAAGCTGGAATTGTGACAAAGGATCTTAATAATATTCTAATACCTGTTTGTCCTAATTGAATATGAAAAGAACTATGTATGTATCTTTAAGATAATGATGTTACGTTTTTACTATGCTAAGGAATGTCACTTAACCATCTCATTTTTACTCTAATGTGTCTTTGTAGGTGCTAAAGTTAGAGCAGAAATTTATGAAGCATTTGAAAACATCTACCCTATCTTAAAAGGATTCAGGAAGACCACGTAGTGGCTGTTCTGTACTCCTGCCTCCCCTACCCACTTTTTTTTTTTTTTTAAACCAATCAGTTTTGGTACCTCTGATGGTACAGTTGTGAGAAAGTGGATGCTCTAGTTACAGGTGGCAGCATCACATGACACTATGTGTCCTACTGCAGGATGCTGGGAATGTTACCTCTGCATTGAGGTCACCCTGCAGCATTACTGTGAGTTGCTTGTTCTGTACTGATATTTGGGCAGCACTGCCCATTTATTTATATTCAGATTTTAAACACTGCTGTTGACAAGTTTGTTGGTTTAAGGGACAGAACTTTTTTCAAGCAGCCTGTACAATTAATTGGACTTTTTGTTTTGTTTAACTTTTCCCCATAAACCACAATTTTTATATTTCTACCAGAAAAGTAAAAATCTTTTTTAAAAATGTTGTTTTTCTAGTTCGTTAAGTCTTAGGACACATTCCACCTTTTCATTATTGCAGGACAGAATAGTTGTATTAATGAAAGCAAATGGCTATACATACTTTCCTTTCTTCAGTATTCTGCACAAAACAATGAAGCTTGTAAATTGTTAAATTTTTGTTATACCTTGTAAGAGTTATGTGAACATACTGTCAAAAAAATTTTATTTTAGATATAATGCCTAAGACTATTTTGTTGTTTGCTTGTCATTTTTTGCTTAACATCTTTTGTCTGTTATAGTGAAAATGGACATGCCACAATGCACTATCAATTGTGATCCCCATTGAGCACTCCTGCTTCCTAAATAGTCCATGGTGTCTGGTGTCTTCACCAGACCAGTTGTTTTGTTCCTTTTTGAGGCCTTTGCCCAAGGTTCTGTAGCTAGTAAAAGACAAAGGGGGACTGCAAGTTCCTCAGGTATGGAATCTGGTGCCTTGTGCCTAGACTGCTAGTCCTCTGGTATAGCACTTTGTTGAGGGACTTTTTTTTTCATGAAATACCAGGTAGGCATTTGGTTTTTTTGGTCCTTTTTTGAGACAGGGTCTCCCTGTAGCCCCAGCTGTCCTTGAACTCACAGACATCCGCCTGCCTCTGCCTCCTGAGTGCTGGGATTAAAGGCATGCGTGACCACGCCCAGCTCCAGGTAGACATTTGTAAGTCCTTGGGTTATTGGGGGGGGTAGGGTATATTTTTATGCCCTTTTAAATTGTAAAAGTAAATTTGCACAGTTCAGAGGTATGTAATCAGAAAGAAGAGGTCTTTTCTTCCTTTCCCTTCTGCCTATTTCCCCAGGGTCACTTCCAGATTACTGGGGTCTTCTAAACCTTGTTTTGTGCAATTCTGTCCTTTGAGGCTGCTTTTGATCTCATTTTTAGAAAAACACTAAAGCATGTGTTCACTTTGGTGACTTTCATTTTTTCAGTCAGTATTATCAATCCAAGACCATTTATTTGTTCTGTTTTGATAGATCAATATTAGATTCTAACCATAAAAGCAAGTGTACAAAACACCCTTTCTTGGGCTTCCTAGTCATTACTGTTGTCAGTAATGTATGAACTACTTGAAAAGACATCATTCCAGTATTATATCTACGTCTCTCCAAGATGTCTCTCTCCATGTAAATAGGTGTTCTCTATGTTCCCACAGTAAAGTTTATAATTCCTTTCATACACAGCGTTTTCATTTCATAAAAGTTAATGCTTTCAATATACTAGTTTGTTTTAATTTTTCCATAACACTTTAAGGAAAGTGATATGCTGGTATGTTTAATTTCTCCAGTCTTTTAACTGAACTCTTATTACTGTTATAGTTGAGTGCATTTCAACCTAGGCATATAGTCTCTATTTTTAATTTTTTCCCACATTTCAGTACTACCTTTTTATTTTTTTTTTTAAGGCATGTAGTCCAGGTGGCCTTAAACTTAGTGAATCTGCCATCTTAGCTCCTCGAGTAGCTGAGATTATAGGCCTGAGCCAGGGTTTTTATTTAGCCAGTTCTATATTATATATTCTTTTATCCTTATTTTATTAGATACTGGGGATAGACCATAGGACTTTGCTTGCAAGAGAAGTACTCTGATTGATCCACCCCCAGACTAGAACCCTTAATTTTTTTATTATGTGTATGAGCATATTGCCTACATGTATGTGAGTTCATCTGTGTCATGCAATGCCATGGAGGTCAGAAGAGGGCATCGGATTCCCCTGGAACTGGAGTTAAGAACGGTTCGTAGCCACCATGTGGGTGCTGAGAATCGAACCCAGGTTCTCTGCAAGAGCAGGTAGTGCTCTTAACCGCTGAGCCATCTCTCCAGCCCTGAGAGCCCTTAGTTTTTAAGGACGTACTCTCATTGTAAATTTACCGTACATATATTACACATGCAACAGCCTTTTTGAGGAAGTAGTTTTGAAGAGAAAGGGTTTCACTATGTAGCCCAAACTGATTATTCTGTGGCCCAAGGTGGCCTTGAACCCACAAGCCTCCTGTCCCTGCCTCCTGAGTGACTCAGTTATCTCCCTCTTGATACCACTTGTGAATTATCTCAAGGTTCATCCCAATGTACCCAAGTGACTGGACACTGCAACATTCATGCTCATAGTATCTGAGGTTGCCCCCAAATAATAGTTCTTGCCACTTACAAAGACCTTAATGTATTTAGTCTCCCACGGCTATGGGCTATAATGCCAGTTCTAGTTTGTTCTTAGCTACCTCAGATTAAAGATGAACGGCATTTTTTCCTTTAAAGTAGCCTGATAACTGATACATCTCCCCCATAAGAAGCAACAGAGCAGTTTTCCAAATGGTGTTACATGTGTCTTGCGTGCAAATATGGACACTCGTAGGCTACGATTTGTAATATGCCATAACCAGGTAGTCAGTGACACTGGAATATGATGTAACTGCTTGTCAATGACATTAAAATGTAATATGACTTAAGATTATGAAGATTGGTGGTAGCAGTCATTTCCAGGTGGACAGGGATGCTAGGGGTGCATACAACACAACAGGATTAGGGATTTGTCAGTTCTAAAAAAAAAAAAACCCTGAACAAAAGCACTGTTTCAAACTTGTCTTAGTCTTGAGGCAGGTGTCTCCATGTTGGGAATTCACTTGTAGGACTAGAAGGAACCCAAACACGGTTACAATCATAAGACGGCCACTTGCAGGTGATGCAGCATATGGAATATCCCACATTTTTGAAAGCTGATCCCAGGACCTCCCTTGACTTAGGCTGCTGCTTCTGGGGCCAGTTCGTGTACTTGCAAAGGAAAAACTAGGGCCCGGGCCCGTGTCCTTCAGTCTCCTGTAAGCAGGGCCCCAAAGGTCAGCTCTGAAGTAGGACTTCAAGTCCAGGCTTCCTGATCATAAATGCTTCTTGTCCTGCCAACCCTGACACTACTGCTTTTCTTTACTGATTTTCCCTTCATCCTACTCACTAGTCTATTTAATAAAGTCCATTTTTTTTCTCCTGGTTCTGGCATCAGACAAGTCTAGATAGTAGCTACATTATCTCTAGATGTAGGTGTGGAGAAGTGCTTTGAATGTGATAGTGTAACAGTCCATTTTTATTATAGAAAGGAGTGTGTGTGTCTGTGAAAAGATCATTTTGTTTAATCCCACAGTTCAATTTGTGCCTTTTCAGATTTCTTTGTTTTATTTTTAATTTACATGTGCGCGTGCGTGCGCATCCCATGTGTGCAGGTACCAGATCCCCTGTAGCTGAAGTTATAGGTGGTTGTAAGCCACCAGGTGTAGGTACTGGAAACCAAACGAGTCTCTAGAAGAGCAGCAATGCTCTTAACCACTGAGCCCTCTTTCCAACCCCAGATATGTGCACATATACATGTATGATTAGTTCTACAAAACTAACATACTGTGAATATCATCCATAATGATATCTTGGTGTCCGTTTATACCTTTTACTTGGTATCTGTGTACGTTTGTATAACAACCTTCCACTGTGGATAATACCAAAATTTTAATTTGTCATTGGATGCTTTTCCTTTAGTAATATTTAGACATTGTAAATTAATTCCTCAAGCAACATCTTCATACTTCCATCTCTGATAGTTTCCTAGGATAAAGTCTTTGAGCTGGAATTAAGTTAACATAAGGAACATTTTAAGGCTTTAAGATATTGTCATGGTGTGTCTATTACATCTTGTTTCCACACAAATTCCTCTGTGTAGCCAGTGCCCAGGCTACAGCTCTCAGCACAGGTGAAGACAGCCAAGACTCCCCAGTCAACACTCTTGCCCAGTCTGTCTGCTTTTAGGTAGTTCAGCAGCTGTGGCATAACCTGAGGAGAGGGCAAAGTAAGAATGCTATTATTTTAGGAAAGGCCACTCTGTTCTAACTTTATAGTCCCCCTGTTCTGCCATGCTAACCCACCATGGGCCTGTATTTCAGTAGAGTTTTCCAGTGTCTTGAAAACAGGGTGATTATATACTAGAATAGTTACTATTTAAGGTCATACCTGAAATTCAAATATTCTCTTGGCACCACACGGGCAATCTGGAATATCTTTTTCTTGAGGGATATTTTCACCAGAAATCCAGATGGGCTTAATACCTCGTCCGTATCTGAGAATCTAAAGTCAATAAGCACCATGTTTAAACACCAATTCTTACTGAAGAGTTTCCAGTGGAACCATGATCTGAGGCTCCTTTAAAGAAAATCCACATGTGCTCTTGGGCACTGCCAACACCTTCTAAGCCTCAAAACCATTATTTCAGTTTATTTTTCTTCTAAGACGTTAGAATCTTAAAAATGTCTTTGTGTGTGGCAGGGGAAGGGGGATGTATGCACACACATTAGTGTGTAGACTGGAGGACAACTTGCAGTTGATGGTTCTCTCCATTCTGTGGGTCCCAGGGATCAAACTCAGGTCCTCAGACTTGGAACAAGTGCTTTTTTACCTGCTGAGCCATCTTGCTGGCCCCATGATGTTAGAATCTTAATCTCATCACTACATTGTAAAAGGGTTAAGAATAACTTCCCTATTACTATATTCTGCATATGAAATGTGGCCCATAGTAAGTAGTACTTGCCTTCATAGATAGCAAGTATCCTTAAACATTCAAAATTTATTTATTTTTTTTTTAATTTTTAAATAAGAGTGTTAGGACTGCATGTAAGTGCATCCTTGTTAAGCAGTACCTGCAGAGGTCAGAACAGGGTGTCAGAAGCCCTAGGAAATGGAGTTATGGACTGTTATTAGCCACCATGTGGGTGCTGGGGACTGAACACAGATAGGTCCTCTGTAAGAGCAGCAGCTCTTACCTGCTGAGCCATCTCTCTATTGCTAGATCCTTAAACCTTTTTTGTTGCGGGGGGGGGGGGGGGTGTCTTTTTGATACAGGGTCTCCCTATAGCCCTAGCTACCTTGGATCAGGCTGGCCTCAGTCTCACAGAGATCCTCTTGCCTCTGCCTCCTAAATGCTGGGACTAAAGGTGTGTGCCACCAAGCCTGGCTTATCCTTTAACATAGATATATACCTAGTAAAACATGGTGTTTGGTTAAATCATAAAACAAAAATGGGTAAATTGACCATAATCAGCTTTATTGTGATTCTGTTAAAGTACTACCACCATTGCTAAATCAAACCTTCCTTTCATCCTGGATCCTTATTTATTTGATCTTTGTTTCTTGTTTTTTTTTTTTTTTTTGGTTTTTTTTTTTTGAGACAGAGTCTCCCTATGGCCTCAACTGGCCTGGATCTGGCTATGTAAACCAGTTGGGCCTTGAGCTCAGAGAGCTCAGGAGATGTGCTTGCTTCTGCCTCCTGAGTGCTGCAATTAAAAACGTGTGCTACCACACCCACCTTGAACCTGTTTTTAGATTAACCTTTAGTGATTTTTATGGTAAGGTAAACTAATGTGGAAAAAAAATTGTGTTATGTTATGCTGGTTTTTAAAATATGTGTATATGTATGCATTTATATGTGTATACTGTATGCACAAGTGAAACATACTGGTTTACATAAGCCAAAAAGTATCTGTGGAAAAACCAGTTCAGTGTAACCCATATATTTTTCTAGTAGTATCTAAATTCCATGCTTAGGCAAAGTGTCATCTTATATGCAGATGCTTTCTTTAGGAAATGAATCCTATAATTCATAGGCAATTTAACCATTTCAATAGGCAATTTAACCACTTGTCTTTTAATAACTTAAATGGAGCATAACTGCAAAAGCACCTTTTTTATGTGTCTTTTTTAAAGAGTTCTTATGAAAAGACTTTACAACCCCTACTCTGAAAGCACAGATGAGTTTTATTATTTAAAAAAATAATTTATTATAAAGTATACATATTACATACTTCTTAGGGATTATAGTCATAAAATAATCCTGAAAACACAATGAAGTAATAGAAATTCTGGAGCTGGGCGTGGCGGCACAAGCTTTTAGTCCCAGCACTCGGGAGGCAGATGTCTGTGAGTTCAAGGCCAGCTGGGGCTATAGAGAGACCCTGTCTCAAAAAGACAAAAAAAAAAAAAAAAAAAAGAAAGAAATAGAAATTCCATTTTACCTGCTCTGGCTCAAGGGCTACTTGGGATTTAAACTTCTGAAAAATGTAATCTTCCTTAGATTCATGCTTTGCCATGGAATCCAGTTCTTCCTCAAGTACTTCCTCTAAAAGACAACACAGTGATTATGGAAAACAGGAGTAATCCCTACAGCTTGACAACTTACAGGTGTGCAGGAGCCCTAGTTCTGTAACTGGACAGCTTTCTCTTATCCAGGCAGTAACATTAGTGCTTGTTTCCAGGTAACATGTAGTTACTGTGCATCTAGTCTTTAAGGCTTCAAACTAAAGTGTGGACAATGGTTTTGGAATACCGCCAGCACACTTTGGGATTCCCTAGAAATGTGAGCCCTCATCTACTATCCTTGAGCCATCTGGACTCTTCAAGTCTCTATGTCTCATCTATCTCTTCCAAGCCTGCATGTACTCATGTGGTCACACAGTGTCCATCTCCTGTTCCATAATCACATCTTGTGTTCCAGTCTCTTTGAGCCAACAGGCCAGTGGCCACCAATACAACCTTTAGTGTTGGTAACATACCAAGATACAACTTTGATATCCTGGGTCAGATAAAGCTGAAATCACCATTTTTTATAAACCTGGGAAAGCGTTAACTAATGGTACTCACTGGCATTGCCAGGATGAATGGTAGAATTGTAAATACCCTAGGATTGATGCTCTGTCAAATATAGAAGCAAAGCATTAGTAAACTGGGACCTTAAGATGTTTCCACAGGCCCTTTTGCCTCCAGCAAACCTTTCTCCTTGGAGCTCAAACCAAGTATCAGTAACTTCTAGGAAGTTATCTTCAAATTTTTTATTTAGTAAAATTTTGAGCATACACAAAAGTAGAAACACTATATAGTCAATTGTCAAGTACCAATAATCAGCTTCAAGTAAAAAATTTCAAGTAAAACCCCTGTTATTTTGATGTAAATCCCAGTCACATCATTTTATCTATAAATAATTGCTACATAAGCCTGAAACTCTATTCTCAAAATTTGATGCTTAAAGAATATTCTTTAAGGAACTTAACCTGGGGCCTTGTGCATTCTAGGCAAGTGGTCTACAGTTAAGTTACATCCCCAGCCCTCATTTAGTCTTTGAGATACTCTCACTAAGTTGTTCAGGCTGACCTTTAAATTACTTGGTAGCCCTGGCAGGCCTTAAAGGACTTTCAATCTTCCACCTTAACCTCCTGAGTATCTGGGATTATAGGTCTGTGCCACTTAATTCTTAAAGTATCACCTTAAACCCATTAACGCAAACATTTGATGTTTAGTTCTTGAGTCCTTCTGACATGACCTTAATCAACTTTGGTAACTTCCTCAGTCTCTAGTATGACCACATTCCAACATTATTTGAACATTTCCTCCCCAGTTCTAGAATCAACCACTTCTCCAAAGAGATCATTTTAGAAAGCTGTAGGAGTACCATATACTATGAGCTATTGATATTTTCAAAGAAAAATGCAGACCTATGCCTTACAAATCTTACATCACAATTCTCCCCAAGCCCAACATACCAACTTACCCCTCTCTTCTCCAATACACACAATAACAGCCAGTAATAGCAGACATGTATAATCTTAGCACTAAGGGAGGAGAGGCAGGAGGATGAGTTCAGGGCCATCTTGGCCTGCATGAGAGCCTGTCTCAAAAAGTAAAAAACCAAAACATGTTCACTGAATTTTTTTCCAGCTTTTTTCATTCTTGGAATAGATTCTACTGGGGATCTACTGTCAAATCTGTTTTGAAATCATTTAGAATTGAGGTTATGTAATTCAAACTACTTTCAATTATGACAGCTTCTTATAACTTTACTTGTGATTATATAAATGCTTACATGGGCCCAGTCACATCTCCTAAGACAGAGTGCAAAGTCCAGCCTTTACCCACCATCCTTCCCGTTACCCACATTTTCCCAAGTGAAGGAAAGTATTTTCATGACTTGCCACTTCTAAAAACATGAGTAACGGGGTCTAGAGAGATGGCTCAGTGGTTGAGAGCACTGACTGCTCTTGCAGAGGACTCAGGTTCAATTCCCAGCACCCACATGGTGGCATTATAACAGCATTTCATTTTGCTGAGTATTATATGGGCTCCTCATTGAGAATGAGCCCCTGACCACTGGGTGCTGTTCTACCTGCTATATACTCCTGTTACCAAGCATGAGCTGGGCACAAAACAAGACTTTCATACTTCTTGTTTAGTGCATGAGGTGAATGAACTATAAACCAGTGAGTTAGTATTCTAATTTAATTTCTACAAACATGACGTCAAGTTTCAAAGTTAGTAAGATCTAGGCTCAAACTCTGAAACTTAAGTTCTTTGTCAAAACACATGGTACAGGGGCCAGAGAGAGAGCTCAAACATTAAGAGAACTGGCTGCTCTTAACCGAGAACTTGGGTTTGGTTCCTTGCACCCATATGGTGGCTAACAACCATCTGTAACTCCAATTCCAGAGGATCCGATGCTATTTTCTGGTTTCCACAGGCATTGCACACACAATCATATTTACGTGCAAAACACTCAAAGATGCGTGATGCCTAAAACTTCAATTTCCTCCCTTCCCGCATGAGACCAAGTGGTTAACTTACTGAATGCTGCTGGGATTTCAATGAGCCCATGTACAAGCAACCTTAGAACAGGGTAAATGCTGAATTAAGAATTACCCAAATTAAGCCAGGCATGAGTTCAAGGCCAGCCTGGTCTACATAGTGAGTGCCAGGCCAGCTGGGGCTACAGAAAGACCCTGTCTCAAAAAGACCAAAAAAAAAAAAAAGACCCAAATTACTGATCAGCATTTGTGCTATTATTCTAAGTTTCCTTGGTAAATGGTCAGCATAGATACAGCCCTAGACTCCAGAAAATGCCAAAAGTATGTATCTAAAACTGCAAGTAAAAGACTAAATTACAAAGACACTCCATTGCTTGCCATACACTCTGCAGGCATTCTATCATGATTTGAGACCTGGCACTCAAATTTCTGGTATCTCCTATAGGTCCCACCTGAATACACATGCAGATACCTCCTGTCTTTAATGAGGAACAGAATGTATCTGAAACATACTAGGATGGGAGGTACAAGAAAGGTATGTTCACCCAAGGCAACATCTAAAAATGACAGGTCAGAGCCGGGCGTGGTGGTGTATGCCTTTAATCCCAGTACTGGGGAGGCAGAGGCAAGTGGATCTGAGTTCAAGGCCAGCCTGGTGTACATAAGTTGAAGGTCAACTGGGGCTACAAGGAGACCATGTCTCAAAAATAAAAATTTTTTAAAAATTAGAATTACAGGCTAAAACTCCCAAGTGAGAGAATACATTCCCTTTATTACCACTTTTCTTAGCATACTAAGCTCTTTCTTCCTAGCATCAAGTGTAATAACAGTGAAGTTCTGAAACTGTTATAGTGTGTATATGATATGTCCCCAAGCTCTCAGTGTTGAAGGATTGGTCCTCAAGCTACTGATGCTATTGATGAGTGACTAGATCATTAGAGTACTAACTTAATCCGTGAATTAACCCACTGATAAGTTCACAGCTGAATGGACTATTAGAAAGTATGGCCTGTGGAAGGAAGTAGGCCACTGACGGATGGAGGTGGGGTGTGGTGTGGTGTGGTGGGGTATGGACAGGTATGCTTTTGAAGGCCATACCTTGGTCCTGTCCCTTTTGTGGCTCTCTGATTCCTGTCTGCTATAAGGTGAGCAACTTTGCTTTACCACATACACCATGATGTTTTGCCTCACCACAGGCCCACAGTGATCGAGTCTTTCCTTCTTGAAGTTGTTTTTCTCAGGTACTTTGGTCACAGCATTGTAAAATTAACATACTGACTCCTTACCCATGCTTCCTGTAACCTCAGAGTAATCTTCCTTTTCCACAATCTCAGGCATAATCTCATCTTCTGTTTCTGTTACAATTTCAAATTCTGGAAACAGGAAGTTGTGGTCTGGAACTGGGTGGTCCAAATGATCTACAAAAAAGTCATTAGCATCATTAAAGTATATTTTTGAAAACTGTGTTGTTGAGTGATTTCATCACAGTTTGAACATGAGAGTGACTCACACAAACCTAGATGGTACAGGTCAGTACTCTACATGACTTCATGCAGTCGTGAGGGATAAGTAACAGACACTATGTGTATGAAGCCGCTGCCCTTGTAATACCACAGCACAATGATTTACAGTTGTTTTACGAGTCTCACTATGTAGCCCAGGCTGGCCTCATATTCAAAATCAGCCACCTGAGTGCTAGGATTATAGACGTGCACCACCACTGGTACAGTAAAATACAAACTGGTAGGACAGTCATTTGTTACCAAAGTATTGTGTATTACACATAACTGTATGTACTATACCTTTATGAGATGGTGTTCTAGTTTGTTTCTCCATTGTTGTGATAAAACCCTGACCAACTTGGGGAGAAAAGGGTTTATTTGTCTTACATCTCCTGGTTCACAGTTTATCAGGGAGCCCAAGGTAGGAACTCGGCAGGAACCTGGAGGCAGGAGCTGAAGCACAGGCCATGGAGGAATGCTGCTTACTGGCTTGCTCTCTTGGCCCATACTCAACCTGCTTTCTTATAGAACATAGGTCCACCTGCTCAGGGGTGGTATCACCCACAGTGGGCTGGGCCCTCCCACATCACTCAACAATCAAGACAATTCCCCCATAGACATGGCCACAGGCCAGTCCAATGTAGGCAATTCCCCAGTTGAGGCTCCCTTAACCCAGGTATGTCAAGTTGACACTAAAGCTATCCAGCACAACTGACCCTTTGTCAACTTGAGACACAAACACATCACTGTTAAACCACAGCCTTTCCATGTCTTGTCCCCAAGATATGATGTTATATCACAACACAAGGCAGTACAACCTTAAAAACCCCACAGTCCTTAAAAAATCCAAACTTAAAAGTTCACAGTCTCTTTTAAAAGCCTCTTAACTGTGGACTTCTGTAAAATTCAAACAAGTACTGTCTTATTTCAAAAGAGAAGAATTGGCCACACCTAAGCAAAACCTAAGTTTAGCAAAGTAGCTCAAGGCTGGACATCTGGGATTCACTCATGATCTTCTGGGCTCCAAAGGGTTCTGGCAGCTCTACCTCTCTGACTCTGCTGTCCATAGTGCACACAGCTTGTCTTAAAGACCGAGGCCAGCTCCACTCCATACCTGCCACTGCCTTTGGTGGTTGTCCCATGGTCCTGGCATTTCCAAAATGGGGTTTCCACTGAAACTGAAGGGTACACCTTCACCAATGGCCTCTTCCGGCCTCAGATTCTGTCCATGACCCCTTCAATCCTGGGGTCTTCACTGCAACTAAGCTGCACCTATGGCCTTTACTGGACTCTGAGAGTGCCAAGTCTCAGTTGCTCTCTGTGGCCCCTTCACACTTTCAACACCAGAACCATGCAGGAGACTCTTACACATTACCAAGTCCTGCTTCTTGCTAGAGATAGAGGCCTGGGCCCCCTCTCGACCACAGCGTCTGTGTGCTGACCCCAAGGAAATACTTCCCAGAAGATTTCACCACAGTGATGCTGGTCTCCTGTTACAGCCGATTTTTCAGCCCCAGCTAACCAGCATTAATTGTCCCAGTAAAGCAAGGTTTTACTTGAGGTTCTGGTCTCTTAAATCACAGCTGATTCTTCAGCCCAGCCAACCCAAAGATTCTCAAAAATATCACACAAACAGCCCTGATAGTCTCGCCTTCCTTTGAAGCTTCATAAGCCAGGCCTCCATTGTCCTCAACTCAGCATAACTGTTCAAGCTCCACAGCAACAAACTCTGAACATTCAGTGGCTTTTCCAGCCCAAAGTTCCAAACGCTTCCACAATCCTCCAATGTCAGGTCTGTCACAGCAGTGCCCAACTTTCTGGTACCAATTTCTGTTCTAGTTTGTTTCTCCATTGCTGTGACAAAATACTCTGACTACTACCAACTTGGGGAGGAAAGGGTTAACTTGTTACATCTCCCAGATCACAGCTCATTAGGGAGCCCAAGGTAGGAATTCAGGGCAGAAACATGGAGGCAGGAGCACAGGTGTGTCAAGTTGACACTAAAGCTGTTTAGCACAGATGAGCATCACAGATGTTACATCACCACCACAAACGTTTCATGTTGACATCACACTGATTAATTCATCACCACCCAATTAATTCTTAACTATAATCTTAACAAGGTCACTATTGTATACTTTGTCTTCTGTTGTCCACTGAAGGATGATGATGCATGAGTCATGTCTTCCATGTAGTAAGTTTTCCCTGTAAACACAGCTACTTGTATGAAGTCATACATCAGATTCCAGTATTCAAGGCAGGTTGTCGACATGACTAAGCTTCAGCACCACTCTTTCATGCTCATGTTACCAGTTCTTAAAAACTTGAGAAGTAGTATTTTCTAATTTTAACTTTAATCTGAAACTAAAATATTTGGGTTGACAAAGTCTGTAAAACTGAGGTGAGATGGAAAATAGAGAAGTCTTACCTGGTTGTGTACAAGCCTGCTTATGTCCCAACCTCCAGTCCAGGGTCTGATGCTCCTTACTGCAATAGTGTGCCTGCTGGCATCTGGAGCATGTTTTAGGGCCTAAACAGCCACAAATTCTGCAGAGATGAGCCCCAGACTTAAGCTGGAGGCACACAGATTCTACTCTGTCTGAGGATGGGGTCTCAGAAGGTGGCTCATATGAGTAAAACTCATTTTTCCTCGGAAGCTGATTCCGAAAAACTAAAGCATGAGAAGAAGAGGTATGAAAGGTATAAACTTTTCAGTGAAAATAATTCAGACATTTGAATCTTCCTCTGTGCCCCACTTCATAAAACGAAAAAAGGCATTCTTTTTTCTTTTGAGACAGGGTATTCCTGTAGATGTAGCTGACCTGGAACTCACCATGTACACCAGGCTGGCCCCGACCGCACTGAGATTCCCCCTGCTTCTGCCTCCCCTGTGCTAGGATTAAAGGCACCACCACTCGAGGCTAGGCATTCATTTCTGAACTGAGAAACTAAGGTTTCTGCTTTCAGGAGCAGTTTTTATAGAAGGGGGAAAAGAAAAAACTAATAAAACGCTTTTAAATTCGGAAGTTTTGTCTGACACGAGCAACTGGGCTGGCTCTTAAGTATTGGTTACAATCAACGACTGCAAAAAGATGAAAAGCTATCAGAACACGATTCTAAAACACAACCTCTTATTATCCGAACATGACCACCCACACCTACTGATCCATCCCAAAGGCTAATAGGAATCCGCTTCTACATCTAAAGTGGCTGCTTCCAGCTTCCAGCCCCGCACGCCTCCCAGCTCCCGCCCCAGGCAGGCGCGCACCTCGCAGTCCGGCACAGCACGGCGGCTCCCGGCAGCAGAAGAGGAAGAGGCCCCGGTGGAAGGCGTCGGCGTGGCCAGGCAGTGGTGCGTACAGCTGCAGCAGGAAGGTGAGCTGCCGACCGCAGCGGGCGCAAGCCATCGCCTCTGGCCTCGGCAGCCCGGAGGCACTCAGCCACGCCGGCCGCCCGCCCACCTTGCTGGGGAATTGCTCGCTGCGCAGCCTCCAGGACGGCGCCTCCTCGGCGAAGCCCAGCTCCACCGGTTGGGACTTGCTCGCTGCCATAGGTGCAGATGCACCTTCCGTTTGTGCCGCCGGACCGGAAGTGGAAAGTCAGGCCTCATCGCGAGAGGGATTAGACAGGAAGGCGGAAGGGGAAAGAGACGGCCATAAGCGGGGAGTAGAAATGTACAGGACCCTGGCGGGCGGAGCGAGATTTCGCCGCAGCGCCGTAACCCTGGGTCGCCGCTTCTGGGGGAGGGAGGGTGGACCCTTGGCTTCTGAGCCTTTGGGATCCTAAATGCTTGGCTGTGATGCACAGTATCCTGAAATCTGTCCTGGTGCTGTCAGAGGATGTGGAAAAGCTGTGATCTCTGCATGTCTTACTCAAGGACTAAGGATGGATGATAAAGGAAAGGTTAACGGATATTCTGAGAACAAGCTTTAGAAACAAACTCGTGCAGATGGGCTGCTTTACACAGTTCAGACGCCCCCAGACTTTACTGTCCTACGTATTGGGTTTAAACAGGATTCTAGGAAAATGGAAAGACTGAACAAAATTGTTTTATTAATTGCTAATGGTAACGAAACTGAATGCAGTAGGTGCCGGTCTTGGTGTGTGCAAAGCCAAGCAAAGCCAAAATAAGCACAGTCAGGAGATAAAAAAGAGTGGAGGAAGACTTATTGTGTGAATGAAAGTAACCAGAAAAACTGTATCTTCCGTGATTGTGTAGAGTTTGGAATGTTGCAGATCCAGAGCCCAGTTTATCTTGGGCCATCTTTAGTCCCTAAATAGGCATTCCTGCCCACCTCTGTGTCTGATCTAACATTCTGTGACTAACAGATCCTTTTGGAATGTATTAACAAAGCCAAAAGACCCGAGTGTCATCATCTGAGGCCTATAACTGAGATTTCTCTTTTCCTGTAACCACCTACTTAAGGTTTCCACCAAAGTATTTGAAAAGTCTCCTGATTTATGACTTTTGTTTGTTCTGTTACTATTGAAATGGCAAAACTGACTCCATTTTGTTCTATCTGACTTTTGTTTTAACCCCACCCACCCACCCCGTGTGTGTCGTGTCCCGTGTCCGTGGTCATTGTCCCATCCCTGTCCTGTAGGACTGATGTTCTTGTCCTACATTCTAGTGTGGTGTGTGGCCTTGTTCCAGCAGCAGCAGTAGCAATGGCTGTGACAGAAGGTTCTAAAGGAGAGCCAGATAAGTGACAGGGAAGGTACAGGTTACAGCAGATTTGTGAACTCAGCCAAGCATTGTGGTGGCAGGGCCTAGCTGCTACAAAGAAGACATGTTTGAGATAATACTCATGTGTATGGGCAAAAAACCCTCCAGGACTGTGACTAGTTTTATAACAGGTTGTTTTAGTTTCTGTTCTGTGGAAGGTTTAAAGCACTCTAACAAAGGGTTTTAATATAGACTCTTTTTTCATCCATACTTTTGGTTGTTATGTTACGGAAAGAGGAATTTACTGCTTGTTTGAATATACTGCTTGAATTTACTTGTTTAAATTTACTGCTTGTAACCAATTAACTCAACTGGAGACACAGGCATCCGGAGATAGAGGCAAGTGCTACAGCCCCCGGAGCCTGACCTGTTCTGTGTCATGTCATGTAGACATGTCTGCTTACACAAGATAACAGGAAAGAGTCGTGCCAGGCACATACCAACTATCCCCAATTGAGACACCTGAAGGGAGTTGTAACATTTTTCTTGTTTTAAAGTTATTGGTTTGTGAAATGCTTGCTTTGAAACTATTGGCTGTATAAACGCAGGATTTTGTGTAACAGTTGTGGGAGCCTATATAATCTTTACCTAAAATTGCCTCGGGGTCGATCGCTCTAACCAGACCTGCATGTCCTGGAAGGACGGTCGACCCCAGCTAGCTGGTTTAATAAAACTCTGCTTGATCTTTGCATCTCCATACTCCATACTCGTGCATTTGTTCTCCTGAAGAGACCCACCGAGTCACAGACCTTAACAGTTAAATGTAATAGTCTGATCATGATGCTGAATAAATGTGTCTTTAAAAAAAAGATATGAGAAAGGCTTAGTGGCATAAAAGATCAAAAGGGGAAGTTTGGTATGCAGAAGGTAGTATTTTTCTTTTTTTAAAGCGCTCAATAGCTAAGGGGGAGATGCCTTTGTATGAAACCAGGAGGTTCCCCTTGTCTAATCTATTAACATTACAAAGCAAGGTGACCAGAAGAATAGTAAAGGAAACACTTTTAAGACTTCAGGTTAAGAATAAAGTATAAAAGCAGTTACTCAAAACATACTCTGTTCCAAAGGCCAAAAATGTCAAGAGTATTTGGGAGCTTGTATCTAATCCTTAAAAGATTTTAGGGTTACTTCTCAGAGGGGGGAATGTTGGAGGAGAGGGAGTGGGCATGGATTTGATCAAAACACCTTATATACATGTATGAAATTCTCAATGAAGTTTTTGTAAAAATTTTTAAAAAAATAAAGAAAAATTTAAAAAAAAAGCAGTTATTCAAAACATGCTGCTTTTGGATCCAGAATGTGCTACTGTGGGAAGCAGTTATCTCATTTTGTCTCAGGCTGCTCTCTTGGAGGCAAGAGACTGGCTTAGGCCATGTGGGGAATCCACTCATAATGTACCCCAGAAAAAGCCATGCCATGTACTGTTGCAACTGACCCAAATGAATCTAGGTGATTTTTAAATGTTCTCTGGCCAGAAAAACAGAAGCAGAGGAACCCAGAGTAACATGCAAGTCATGCTTAGCAGGGTAAATCAGCCAAGTGACAGATTGGAAAATCACCAGCAATGCTTCAAGATGGATCTCAGCAGGATCACCCAGAAACTTCAGCAGTGTCTGAGACATAGCTGCCATGTGGTCATCCTTAGGAGCCTTAGGAGCTCTAAGTTTTTGGAACCTCTAGTCAATCCAAACCAGGATTTGTGGCTTTTAGTTGCATTTTAATGTAGGCTTAAGCATGAAAGGTAAAAGTAGAAGAGCTGCTTAAGTGAAAAAAAAAAAGTGAGACATATCTAAGTTTGAGCATAGCTTCCCAAGGAAGGTGGCCTTTACAAATGGGAGGTTTTAATATAGTGTGTGATAGGGTTCAGAGTCAGGCGACCCCAGACCCAGAAACCATAAGGCCCTTAAGAGGAACTGATTCTGCCAACTCCCAGCCACTTGCAAGCTGACAAAAGCAGCTCTGGGAATTGGTGACCCAATGTATTGTGATCACCAGAGCATGCCTCACAGGCTGACAAACAGGTTTTCCCAAGCACATAGCTACAGTGGGTTCCTGGAACCCTGTAATTGTAGAAAATATATTTTACAGTACATGTTTTCCTTGATAAGTTTCACCAGGTACAGACCCCACGCCCTTCATGAACAGCCCCCAAACAGCAGAAAAATATTCTTTTTCCACGTTTTTTCCCTTTATAAGCTACTCCCCCCCCCCAGCAGCCATTAGATTGCTGGTTTCACTCCTGAGTTGAGGACCAACCTGGCTAACCCCAAAGTAAACTCTCTCTTGGCCAGAGTCCTCTCTGTTTCTGTTTCTTGGTGATACTGACTCCTGCCACCTTTTTATCTAACAGTGTGTAATCTCTCCTTTTGGGGGGTAGCTTTTATATTAAAACAGGCCAGAATCTATTTGGATATATAATTTTGCTCTGTTAGTAGATAAAGAATGAAGGACAAGGTCAGAGAAAGATGAGATAGGAGAACTAGTCTTAGAATTTATCTTTAGTTCTGATATAACCTCTAAAACCTTTTATATTTATTAATTTTAATATCTCCTTTTAACTCACATATAGTTTTTAAGAGCTCTTATTATTTTAAGTTACCAATTTTATAATTTATTTTTCCTTTTTTTAGATAATTTTACATTTCAATTAAAGCAGACTACTAATTTGTGTTTTTTTTCCAATTTTTTTTTCATAACCTAGGACTTCTAGTTAAGTACACAGAACAAACCAATTTAGAGCTAGTAGATGCTCCCCACTGAGGGGAACTTACCTTTAATTATCTTTTTACATTTTTTTCTTACATTCATAAGGTTTTTAAAAATATTTTTTTATTTTATGTGTATGCCTATATTGCACACACCTTTAATCCAAGCACTCAGGAGGTAGAGGCAGGCGGATTTCTGTGAGTTCAAGGTCAGCCTGGTTTAGTGAGTTCCAGGACCCTGGGGCTACAGGGAGACCCTGTCTCAAAAAAACAAAAAACAAAACAAAAAGGTAGATACCTCCCTCTGCTTCCCTGGGCCTGCACGACCCACGGGCCTCTCTCAGGGGTGAGTCAATGGCGCCCTCCATGCCTTGACTCCCCCAGCCTCATTCACCCTCCCATCTCCCCTGCCAGTCTCTCCTCCTAGCCTGGGGCCTGTCCCATTCCTTCTCTTGGCACCCCAGACACCTGGGGAACCACCACTGCTTCCTGATCCTTTGCATCCAGACCAACTCAGTTCCTTCTCAGGTCCCAGGAACACTCTGGGCCTGGCCTCACCCTCACCTCCCTCTACTTTCCTGGGCTTTCACAACCGGCCAGCCTCTTTCTTGGACACTGGGGCTGACTTTTCCTCTTCCTGATCCTTTGCATCCAGACCAACCCAGCTCCTCAGTGCAGTTCCCAGGAGCCCTTGGGGCTGCTTCCTGCCCCCATCTGCCTCTGCATCTCTGGGTGACATGGCCACCGGCTGCCCTAGACCAGCATCTTTCCTGGGCCGGGCTCCCAGGCTAGTCTAACCCCAAAATTCCTGAGGCCAAAATCTTTCCTGGAGGGAGGCAGACCTTAGGAGAAAGCCTGAGAGCATCTGATCCTCATCTAACTTGGGCCTCTGTGGGAACTCCTGAAGACAAAAGCAATCTGGCCACTCCTATATAAAATCAAAAGAGAGAACCAGAAGCTTAGCAGAACCAGCTTTTCATGCCCAAAAATTAAACCACAAAGACACATAAAGTTCACAAAAAGAAGCAGACCTAAACTTGAAGACTTGAGTCTCACACAAGAATCAGAAACTACAAAAGAAATTCACATGTCAAAATCACAGAGAAAAAATAATAATATGAAAAACCAAAAACATATCCCCACCAAATACCAACAGTC